ATGGTGGTCACGCCAGAGACCGCGACCGCTTTCATCGCCACGATAGCCGCCCGCATCAAGGATTTCAAGATCGCCGCCATCAGTTCAACAACCGACACCAAGGAAGTCGCCCACCACATGCGTATCTTCAACGCCAGCGCCAAGATGACGACATGGAAGTAGACAACGCCCAAGTACAACACCGTGGACAACGCCAAGTAGGCCCCTTTTACAACTGCGGACGTATGGGCCACAGAATCAGTGACTGCCGCTCTCCACCCCGGAACAATCAAGGAAGAAGCCAAGCTCAACCCCAGCGCAACAACAATTCAAGACATGCCAACCGGCCTCAGCGAGCCCAGTGTAATAAACCAAGTCGTCAGCACAATACCCAAGTAACCAAAGTCAACAGCGACACAGAAGGCAGCGAAGATGACGTAGAAGAAGTGATCCTAGGCAACAACATGGGCCTAGCCCAGCAAGACTCCGCGGAGGAGGAGTCGCTTAACATCAATACCGCCCAGCAAGCAGTGCCAGCGCAAGAAAACAAGTTGATGATAGTTCACGGCGCACTCGACAGTACAAGCGTTCGCATCCTGATCGACTCTGGTGCCTCGAACTTGCTTTGCCGCCCAGGCTTGGTCAAGACAGTGATCCGCTCCAAAGAAGTTCAAGCAGAAGGCTTCGATGGACACTGCTCTGGCATCAAGAAAGTGAAGGAAGTATCTGGCACACTTTGCTTTGGTCAATGGACGTTCCCAGATCTTATACTTACCGAGTGGGATCTCGGGAAGAAGGACTTTGACGTCATATTGGGAAAACCATGGTTCTTTCGTTGCAACCCTGTCATCGACTGGCGTACCCACCAAATCCTCAACGTCAACTCAAGTGAAGTCGAGCCTGAACGAATCGAAGGATGGATGATCAAAGTCACGACGAAAACGGAACCTCAGCAGAAGTTACACCCGCTCGTGGCCAGGGTTGTGGAAGAATTTCGTGACGTGCCCAAATCCACTTGCGAACGGTCGTTTGACTACTGGGTCAACCACGATCGGTGCTCCTCGTCAAACAGGAAACGCGCGTCGGCCACCTTTGGCTTGATAACGCCGTTTGGCCTCGGCGAGCTGAACCTGTTCTTGAACTAACGTGGCCTGACCATTGACGAGCCCGGCGGCCATCTCTTCGATAACTTTTCGTTCCGACTGCAGCTCCTCCCGCGACAGAAGTTCCGACGGTTCTGCCATCTTCTTGAGGTCTGACTGCAACTCGCCGTTCATGTCCGTCAACATGTTCATGCTGACGTTACTTTCATGGGCCTCACCTTCCAAAATCCGGCTCTGAAGGTCGCGCGCGTCGACAACGGCATTCAGACTTCGTTCGTGGCGAATAGTCCCAGGTGAACGTGACCACTTCCCTTCCTTGTACGGTTTTCTTTTTGCGCGGAGACCGGATCGGCAACTCCTCCGCTCCTTCCGCCTTGTCGGGTGACACATCGGGCGATCCGTCTGGGTCTCGTTTCTTTTCACGAAAAGGCGACGCCATCCCATTCGCCGAGGTTCAGCCACTTACGGATAATATTCGATCATCCCGAATTATCTGATTATCTGGTGTTCTCTTTCTGTAGAAGCCGGACTGTTTCTGCCCAATCATAGGTCAGCTCAGCAGTCCTTTAATGATCACTTCTAGTTTTGCCCTCGACCACACAAGTGTTCTCGTCGTCGTCCCTCCTCAGTGATGTCTCTTTCCACGTCCCTCTTGACAGGTTATAAGCCTCCTTCCTTCCTCTGTGCAGCCCTTCGTGGCCACCCCACTCGACGACCTCCGGCCTCTGGCCTACACGCTCTGGAAAACGGACTTCTTGTCCCAAGCCACGTCCCGCGACCTTGCTGAGTTCTACTCTACGAAGGACTTTGTCCCTAAGGGCGATCGTATCGATGCGCTCAACATCAGCAAGATGTACCTCGAGCTCGATCAAGTCGAGCACTCTGAGCTCTATGTTGTCGACCCGACTCTGTCGGAGACCGATCGTGATGCGCGTCTCGCGGAAATCAAGGCGCACACAACCGCCATCCAACGTGAGATCATTGCCCGTGAGGTGACCAAGAAACTTGCGAATCAACGCTCTGCGGTGCACACCTTCTTGGTATCAGCCATCTCTACGAATCCCTACGAGCTCTTTGAGCACATCAAGACTCGTTTCGAATCCAATCCCATGGACATCAACCCCACCATCATTGCCAGCTATCTGCGTACTCTCAAGGGCACGGATGAGAGTTGTATCGACACTCTATCCGTGGAACTCATTGACCTCATCAAGCGCTACCGTGTGTATATGACGCCACAGTTGTTTAATCCTCTGGATCCATCGGCGAACTCGAACCGCCTCCAACAAGCGTCTGCTCTGGTTGACAACGGCTCTGTCGCAACAATTCAAACACGAACCCAACTTGCAGGCGTCATGCATGCCGTTGCAGCCCCTGCACCCACACCCCTAGCGATTACGCAAGCTAATGGCTCGGTTCATGTTATGAACGCCTTTACTGTCCCGAGCTATGCTCACCATGATTGCGTCAACCACCCCGTCAAGTCGTGCTTCTACTGCGGCGTTATCAATCACACGCTTCCTGCGTGTCCCACCCTCATGTCGGACTATGCACGCAACACTATGCGTCCTATCACTGATGCACCGGGCGAGCACTTCCCATCTCCTGTGGATGCCGGTGACCTAGACTTCGCTGAAGTTCCTACCACCGAGCGTTTACCCCTTAACCATGTCCACTGTTCCAAATTCATGCGGACCCAACCAAAGTGGATCTTCCACTGTTCCCACCCAGTGCCTTCTCGGCCACCCACAGTGACATTATTACCGCGGCGTCGGAAACATCAATCAAGGTGATTCTCCAACTACCATCAAGATGTGTGGACGGTGTCCGTCCCCATCCCCCATTCCAAGTTGTCGGAGAACAAGGCGTTTTCGCCCTTCATGCGGATCTTCGCTACTGTGAAAGCGATCCCGGTGATCCGCCCCTACCCATGTCAGTGACTTATCGTAATGATTTTCCCGCTCTGCGAGAACATTGGATTATTGAATCTGGCGCCTCTGCCTCATGCACCCCAAACGCGATTATTTCTCCAACTACGTTCCTTGCGCACTGTCTCTTACAGTCAGGAACGGCGCCCAACTTCCCGTCCTTGGCTATGGCCCTCTTTCTTTGGCCGTGGACATGTCGTCCCGTGACCAAGCCGACGATTTTTGTCCATGTGCTCTACACCTCACCTTTGGCCTACATTGCCCTGAACTACAGTTTAATATGTTCTCAGTTTGCCAAGCGACTGACGAAGGCATATCAGTCTCGCGACATGTGCGAAATCACCACTACTCTTGATGATGTGCTTTGTGCACCTAACAACGCCATGGGTCTTTACTCGTCTCCCTGCCAGCCCAAGTGCGAGCCCTCCACCGACCCACACCGTGGGGAGTATATCCATCCGGGCCAAATGGCTATGCTCGCCGGCATGGTGGCCACTTTTGAGACCGCACTGCGGAAGTTCTCCTCGACCTACGGTGGATTTTCCACTTTTAACTATCAATAATACATGTTTGCATATTTGTCTGTGTTGCGCTATGCGCCAATCATTCACCGACCATCTATGGTCCCCTAGCCGTAACCATTCTGGCCCCATCACTCCAGTCTCCATGAGTGTCGCCCAGACTATGCTTGGTTCACACACTCCTACCCCAGTCAATGACACCACTACTGTTCCAATCGACTGCCTAACCAGCCTCGTAGCTGACTCCAAGCTCTCTGCCGCTAGCCTTGCGCAGCCTCTGGCACCGTCGTCTCGGCCACCCAGACGTTGATGCCTTCAACCAAATGACCAAAACAAACCCCGAGCTTATGCTCTTCACAGCTAAGCACCTTCGTGCACAACTATGTGAAACTTGTGCTTATGCCAATTCCAAGCGCAGTTCTTTCGACTCATCTGCGGTCTTCCGCACGGCTTCCTACCTTGCCCTCGTACACTATGATATTTGGGGCCCAAGCCCGATTCTATCGGTGGGTGGCGCAGCCTATTTCGTCGTTTTTGTCGATGATTGCTCCTGCTTTATGTGGATCTACCCATGCGTTTTTGCAAAGATCTCTAAGAGACCTACGAATTATATCGTACGAACGCGATGTCCATTTTCTAACATGATGTTGGCGAGCTGCATCACTCATCACCCATGGACATCGGCACCCTCCAAAGCGACAACGCCAAAGAGTATGAGAAACTCGGGCGCATTATCAACGCCAAGTACAACACTCGGGTGGCTTTCTCGAACGCCTATTCCCCCTAACAAAACGCCGTCGCCGAACGCCGTGCCGGCATTGTCGAGCAGAAAATGCGAGCTATGCTCATTCAAGGTACTCTACCCAAGTTGCTATGGGCTCTCGCCGTCTAATATGCCTCATGGCTTATCAACTAATCCCCTTCGGCATCCAACAAAGTTTTTTCACCCTACCACATCGTCTTTAAACGACACCCATCTTTGGGTCCATCAAAACCTTTGGGGGCACCATGCTTGTGCACATTCAACGTGCCGCGCAATCATCCAAGCTCGATCCCCGTGCCGTAAAGGCCATGTTTGTGGGTCTCACACACGATCGCAAGGTTATGACCTCATGCATTTGCACTCGCATCTACTGATCAACTCTCCTAATGTCACCTTCTGGGAGGCTAGAAGACATTGTCGCGGTCGGGGCGGGACATGGCATCACGTCAGTCTTTGGGGTTGTTGGTGTTGGCACGGTCGGCGAGTAGCGCGTAGATGAACAATGGTTCCACAGGAACCGAAGTAGGAACCGAAGACAAGGCTAATATTGATAAATAGACCGAGAAGGCAGACGGGATGAGTCCATAGAATCGTCGTAAGGGAGTAGCAATTGGGTCAAACCCGGACTGGTCAATGAGAATGTCGAGAAAATATCTCGATTTTGTCTGGGTAGTTGCACAGAAAGTGCTGGGATAGGTCGAGTCGAGAAAGAACGGGTGGCGACAAAGGTTTGTCATAAAGATAGAAAGAACGGGTGGCGACGTAACCAAAGGCTTGTCATAAAGGAAGGCACTGGGACTGTTGGTAATGATGGAGTGTAGTGGCGGCAATGGTGCATTGGGTTCCAAGGTTGGGATGAAGTTGGGGTCGGTGGTAGATTTCTGGCGATAAACCGCAGCAGCAGCAACAGAGTTGATGGCTGGGAATTCGGACTCCCAGAAGGTGACGTCACGAGAGTAGATAAATAGGTGAGAATTCAAGTGATTGGGCGTATAAGTTTTGATGTCACCCAAAGATGAGTGTCGTTTAAAAACGATGTCGTAGGGTGAACATCTTTGTTAGGTGTCGAAGGGGAAATGTTGATAAGCCATGGAGCGTAGTCAAGGGCAAGAGCCCATAGAAACTTGTGCAGAGCCCCTTCAATAAGCATAGCCTGCATCTTTTTGCATGACAATGCCGATATGGCGTTTGGCAACAGCGTTTTGTTGGGGTAGCCACCCGAGTGTTGAACATAGAGATCATTGCGAAAGCGCATGGAGTAGCTCTACATAAAGCGGGAGTAGTCATCGATTAAAACGACAAAGTAGGCAGCGCCACCCGCCGACAGAATCGGACGTGGGCCCCAAACATCAGAATGTACGAGGGCAACGTTGGAGGCCGCGCGGAAGACCGCAGATGAGTTGAAAGGACTGCGCTTGGATTTGGCATAAGCACAAGTCTCACATAATTGACCATGTAGGTGCTTGGCCTTGAAGAGCATAAGCTCGGGATTTTTGTTTTTGTCATTTGCCGAGACGGCAATGCCATAGGCGCGCAAGGCTAGCTGTAGAGAGCTTGGAGTCCGCCACGAGGCTGGTGAGGCACTCGATTGAAACAGTAGTAGTGTCATAAACTAGGGTAGCAGTGTGCGAACCAAGTATAGCCTGGGCGAAGTGATGGGGCTGCTTGGATACCATATATGGTCGATGAATGATTGGCGCGTAGCACAAGGCAGACTAACATGCAAACATGTGCAATTGATCAGGAGATGCATCCCAGCGGTTGACCACTGGTTGGCGGAAGGACTCATTGTAGGAGTTGCTAAGTTATTGGAGGTTTTTGGGCGATACCTACCGCCGTTCTGACGGCTAAACACAGCCTTTTCATCTCAATTCCTTAAGTTATATTAGCACTGTGTTAGGCAAGACAAAAAGATTAGCCACCAGAGCTGCTGTAGTGTTCTCGCGGGGGAGGCACTTGGGCTGATGGGACGACTACGTTTGTGCTCCTTGAGGAACTTAAGAAAATCCCCGACAATGTTTACATGTTCAGTGAGTACATAATACTTGCTTCCCTATAATTATTACTAGAACTTGCTTGCCGTAGGAAATATCCTCGGATAACTGCCATTTTTCTGGTTGCATTGACTGTGAATAGGGAAATTTTCTGCCTCCTCTGTCCTGATACCGCAATTTCTTCATTAACAATGAAACAGTATTTCTGAGAATAGAAAAAGTAGTATTGCTTCAATCAGGGAATTGTTCACCTGACGGTCGACGACAACATGGCATCCTCATTCAGTCAGCAACATACCATCCAGCGAAGACGAGCATGAATGGGCGAAGTGCGTGGAAGGCGCCAGCAGCATGTACACATCCGTTCGGGTCGACCATGCATCGAGGAATACCTAGTGCTTAGCTGCCTACCACAAGGACGACTGCATGTGGACCTCCCATGACGCGTGCCGCATCTCCCAGCGCGAAGATGATCTCATGTGGAGGTGGCCTCAAGCGAAGACGAGCGACGAAAAGGATAGTTGCCGACCCCTGACGTTGGTGCGCGGTGGCCTTGACGCCGACCGCCCCTCGCGCGTTCCAATGCCACATGGTGATGTCGTCGTCGTTGCACGAACGAATGCACAGTACATTGCTTCGCGCACAAGCGAAGGTGGAGCGATGGAATGCGTTTGGAACGACAACACGTGCACATCCAAAGCGGCTTTGGAGGACTGCCGCATCTGGCTCGTCACCGTGACGACCACATCGCTGTGAAAGTCCATGAAGTTCCGAAAGCGTTGCGCTCTTCATTTGTCAACGGCGTAGTCCATCCACATGCTCGTCGTCGCCGACTGGATATACCCTTGTACCTGTCAGACAGGGTGGTACGAACCACCGAACGGGTCAGACAGCTGGGGCACTGGAAGGGGTGGCGTGAAGACGTGGCTGAGTACTGCCGGTTGTGTGTCCGTTGCGGTGCCGCAAAGGGATCGAGGCCGTGGAGAAGCGGAAAACTCCAACGAATGCCGGTGTACCGGTTGAAGGGACCAGGAACAAGTGTGTTGATCCTTGTCGATTAATTCACGCGGATCTGAAGTCGTCGACGTTTGTGCGAGTGTTCGTGGACGAGGCCTTATGCAGATACGGTGTACCGGATCGGTTGCTGTCAGACCGAGGAACCAACTTCGTGTCTCACCTGGCCCAATCGATATACCAGACGTTGGGGATCGAGAAGATGGCTAACGCGCCTGGGCATCCGCAAGGGCAAGGGTTAGAGGAACGATTCAACCACACGTTCGCGACCATGCTGAAGATGTACGTCAACTACGTCCATACCGACTTGGACGTGTACCTGCCGCGGCTGCTGTTCGCGTACCGTACGGCCTACCAGTCCACTCTGGGCGACTCGCCGTTCTTCTGTTTGTTTGGCCACGATCCGGTTCAACCGTTGGATATTGTCTTCGCGAATCAAGACCCGCCGTAGAAGTCATACGACCTGCCACAGTGGTGGTGTTCGCAGTTTGCTTGGTTCCAAGAGACCCGACGGCTCGTTGAAGCACAACTGATTGAAGGACAGAACCGCTCGGCGGCAGCGGTCGAAGCGCGGGCGTGTACGGATTTTCAACCCGCAGACTCTGTCTGGTTGTACCAATACTTCAGACGGTCGGCGAGTGCGGATGACACGCGGATCAATAAGCTTGCTTACCATTGGCACGGTCCGTACCATGTAGCGCATCCGAGAGATGACGAGGCCACGAATGCATGTACGGTACTGGTCCCACCTCTGAGTACGTCGAAGAATGAGTGAATTTGGACCAGTATTGGCCGAGATTGAGGTGGTCATGGCTGTTCGGATAATTGACGCCTGTCATGTAGCGCATCCGAGAGATGACGAGGCCACGAATGCATGTACGGTACTGGTCCCACCTCTGAGTACGTCGAAGAATGAGTGAATTTGGACCAGTATTGGCCGAGATTGAGGTGGTCATGGCTGTTCGGATAATTGACGCCTGTCATGTAGCGCATCCGAGAGATGACGAGGCCACGAATGCATGTACGGT